GATTGTGTTTGAGATACCCATGAAATATTCAGGTGAAGATGCTGAAAGAGAGTTGTTTCTATGAGAATTCAAATCTCTATGAAATTCAAAGACATTTGGATTAGATAAAAAATTTGGCAGCCATCATGTCGCAGAGAATATTTAAAACCATGACATTAGGTGAGAACTATTTTTTTTATTAACATATAATGTATTATTTGCCCTAGGGGTACAGGTCTGTGAATCATCAGGCTTACACATTTCATAGCACTCACCATAGCACATACCCTCCCCAATGTCCTTAACCCAGCCACCCTATCCCTACCCCCCCCACCCCCTAGCAACCCTCAGTTTGTTTTGTGAGATTAACGGTCTCTTATTGTTTGTTTCCCTCCTGATCCCATCTTGTTTCATTTTTTCCCTCCCTATCCCCTATGACTCCCTGCTCTGCATCTGAAATTCCTCATATCAGGGAGATCATATGATAATTGTCTTTCTCTGACTGACTTATTTCACTTATCATGATACCCTCTAGTTCCATTCACATTGTTGCAAATGGCAAGATTTTGTTTCTTTTGATGGCTGCACAGTATTCCATGGACAAAGTATGGAAAGAACCTAGATATCCATCAACAGATGAATAGATAATCCACATCTTCTCCCTCTTCATATAGAATATCTGTATTGATTAGGTCCCTAGCCATCAGTACTGCCTCTTGTTCTTTTCATTGTGGAGAGTTTATCTGCCTTGTCATTTTATCCAGGTAAGAATAGATGAATCAGAGAACAAAATACTAAAAGGGTAGCAACGACCCCAGAAAAAATATACACTAACCAAATCAGAAGAGACCCAAAACCAGGGGGAGAAGAAAAGGGGGGAAAAAAAAGAAAAATGAAAAACATATATATATTATATATATATATTTTTTTATATATATACACACACACACATATATATATATATTAGACTGGTGAATAAAACAGAGACACACACTTGATTTGGGATGTATTTTGGTCTGTTAGAAGAAACTACCTCCCAAAATTTTAAAGAAAGAAAAACATATATATGTACAAAAATAAGGGTAAACATGATGAAGGGATGGAATATGACTGTAAAGATGAAAATTTAAAAAGATTCTGAAAAAGGAATAGATAAGAAGTTGGTTGGAAAAAAAGGAAAAAAGAGTAAGGAATGTGATCATGCTGGAGACTAGAACAAAGCTATGCACTAGATTTAGGGTACATTTTGATCTATTAGAAGAAATTGTATCCCAAAATTTTAAAGAAAAAATAACTTATATGTATACAAGAAATAAAGTTAAATACATTGAAGGGATAAAATATGACTATAATAATGAAAATTTAAAAAGATTTTTTAAAAAGGTATTGACAAGATAAAATAGTTAAAAAGCATTAAAATAGGAAAGAGAAAAATTTAAAAAATAGAATAAGAAAAAAATAAAATTAAGAACATTTAGCTTTGAAAGACTAAAGGATCATGGGGGAAAAGCCATGAACTCTATGTGTTGCTTGTCCCTAGCTCTGGAGTTCTGCAGTTCTCACTGATGGGTGAACTTGGTCTTGGCTGGATGTTCTTGCTGATCTTCTGGAGTAGGGGCCTGTTGCCTATTACTGTGATTCTCAAATGTCTTTGCCCGAGGCAGAATTGCACCACACTTGCCAGAGGCCTTGCTAAGTAATCTGAGGGGTTTTGCTCTTGGGAGCTTTTGTTCCCTGAACGCTTTCTGTAGAGCTTTGGAGTTAGTGATTATCTACAGAGGCAAGTGCTAAGAGTTGAGTGCTGGGAATCTGGAATATTTAAACACTGGAAACAGAATAAGAATCCAACAAAAGCAACTAAGAAGCAGCACTGAATAAACACAGAGTTGATCCATGGTATACTATGGACTAAACTCTTCAAAAGATAGATGTGATTGTGTCAAATGCTACTAAAGGTTTAAGTTAGTAGGAAATGAAAATTGACCACTGGATTTGGCAAGGTGCAGCTCATTGGTAGCATTGAGGGGAAGTGTTTTGTTGAGTGAAGGATAAAAAGTCTGATTGAGGCAGTTTCAAGAGCAAATGGGGAGAGAGGAACTGCAGACAAACTGTACACTCATCTCTCAAGAAGTGTGCTATTAAAAGAAGTCAAGAATGGGACAGTAGCTGGTTGGAGGAGACTGTAATGTAAAAGGAGAGGTACTTTTTTAAAAGGTGGACAAAAATGACAGCATGTTTGCAAATATACAATTCAGATGATGGAGTAACAAAAGAGAACAATTGCCAGAGTGATGACATTGGAGGGCGAATAAGGAATGGAATCCAGTATATTAATGGTGGCTAGACCTTATAGGCATGGGCAGTCCACCCATAGAAACAGGAAAGATCTAGTGTGTATTGGCACACATCTTGGTAGTGTGGTAGATGTGATCATGGGAGAAGGTGAGATTTCTTTCTTTTGGTGATTTCTCTGTTTCTTCATGAAGTAGAAAGCACGGTGATCAGTTAAGAGTAAATAAAGGGAGATTTGAGATTTGAGGAAAGAAAAGAGAACATGAAATAGTCAACTAAGAGAATTGATGAGTAAATGAACCATGTAATGTGAGATTGCCTTTCAGCACAGAGTAATTTAATACTCATACTCTCCCTATGTAATACATGTTTTCATGCCCAGTGTCGTTTTATAGATGAGGAAACAGAAGCACAGAAATATTTGATTCTTAGCCCAAAGCCACAGAGTTAAAAACCAGCAGGCGATTTGTCCTTTGAGGTTTTAAAGCCGAGTGAATCTTAATCCTAACACCAATGACAAACTGTTGAGGCACTTTCAATAGGTACACGACATGGCCAGAGTTTTACTTGGAAGAGATCAGACTTGTTGGAGTGTAGCCAAAGAAAGTTGAGAGGAACTTGGGCTTAGTAATATGGAGGCATAAAATCTGGAGAAAAGAGGTCAGGGTATTTTTTAGAAGGTAATGTAAACATAGTGATGGGTTGATTATGAGGGATATTGATGACGACTACTGGGTTTCAGGCTTGCAGTGTGGAATGGATATTGACATCATTAATAAAGACATAGAACAAGTTTTGCAACTTCTTGAGTTTGCAGGGGCTTTGAGCCCTCCCAATGAGTATGTTGAGTAGAGAGTTGGCTGTAAAGGTCCATAACTCAGGTGGCTAGAAGGATAAATGTGAGGCATAGTAGAGAGATGATAATGAACCCATAACTGAAGATGAGATGGATTTGCAACAAGCATAGGTATAGGATAATATCTTGAGGAACTTCAAAATTTAAAGGCTGGATAAAAGAATATATGCCCACAAGTAGCCAGAGAGCTAGGAAGATGTTAGGAAGACTGTAAAGGGAGATAAATAGGATATTTCAAGGGGGGAGTTATGGTCAACAGTGCCAAATGTTGTTAAGAGAGCAAACAACATAAAGAACCAAAATATCAATTGGATGTAGAAATTGTGAAATTATTGGCAACATTAGTCAGTTATATCAGCAGAACAATGGAGGCAGATGCCAGAGTACAACAGGTCAGAATGAGCTGGAGGGGAGAAAATTGCTACAAGAAGTAAAGATGAACTTTGTGAAAAGTTTAACTGAGAAGGAAATGAAAAATAAGGTAGTAGTGGAACGTAGTATTGAGGGTAGGATTTTTTTGAAAGGGGGACACTTGAATTTATTTAAATATCAAAAGAAAGCTTCTAGTTATCATAGTTTTTTTGTTTTGTTTTGTTTTGTTTTGTTTTGTTTTGTTTTCAGTTTATGAGACTACTAGAGGGATAAACAATAATGTAAGGTAGGGGGCGAAGAGAGAATACCAACACAGAGAAGGGATTATATTGGCAAAGGGAAAGCTCTTCTAAAATAAAAAGAGATCCCAGACATACAGATGGGATTTTACAGGTCCTTTTCACATTTGCCTATTAATGTTTTATTTTTTGTGTTGATTTGAAAGAGTTCTATATTATAGGAATAGTTACCTTTCCCTTTTATTATATATGTTGCATACATTTCTGGAGTTTGTCTTTTAATTTAAATTTATATGTGATTTATGGCATAAATATGTTTTCATAAATAAGTTTGGATGAAGGTGGCCAGAAGATGCAAACTTACAGTTTATAAGATAAAGATAAGATAAATACGTACTAGGGATATAATGTAAAACATGATAATTATAGTGAACACGGCTGTATGGTATATTTGAAAGTTAAGAGAGTAGATCCTAAGAGTTCTCATCACAAAGAAGATCATTTTCTTTTTCTTCTTTTTTTGTATCTGTAGGAGATGATGGATTTTTAACTAAACTTACTGTGATATGACTTAATGATATGAGTAAGTTAAGTCACCATGCCACTCACCTTAAACTTAGCGCATTATGTCAGTTAGATCTCAGTAAAACTTTGGGAGGAAATCAAGTTATTTTCCCTTGGCTCAGGACTCTGGGTTCTTTTATCAGGGTGGGTGTGGAGGGTGCAGATGGAATATGGATGACTATTGTGTGTTTTTACGGCTTTTGAAAGGCCATTATGTCTCTGCCCCACAGGGCACAGGCTAGAAAAAAGTAAGTTCTCAGTATTTCTATCTACTTTTTACCAAATTTTCTTTTATTGTCTCTACACGTGGCGTTCTTCACATGCACTTTCCTCAACCAAAGATTCTATAAACTTCTTCAATATTTTTTCTAAGACATACATGATTTTTTCACTCCTGAATTTTTAGTGCACCTAGGATTATATTCGTATCAGGCACGAAGTAGGGAATCTCTGCCTACCCACCTCCACCACAGCACATCAGTGATGCCTTTAATTAGTACACGATGTCCACCCTCCAGGTTTTAGCCTCAAGCACCTCACAAATGATGCAACACAAGCAAGGAACACTTCCTCATGCTGGATCAAAACTGCCTACCTGTCTGTTGGGTTCTTTGACCCTGCTGTGGAAGCAAGGGCAGGGAGTCACACACATCTTTTCTCAAGCACCCGTGCCCCTTCTTCCACCAGAATTGTGCAGAATGTTTCCCAGGAGTTTGCTTTTCATGATCATACTCATTTCTCAGATTAAAGGTATGTGTTAATCTTTTTATCAGGGTTTTCTTACTAGGCTATGAGGTAATGTCTCTTTAGTCACAAAGTTTAAGTGATAAATGATTAAAAAAAAAACAATGTTAAAACCCATTGATGATTTTGCTGAGGACACAGCATAGGACTTGGACTGTTATGGCTAAGATTGAGATTCTATGATTCTATGAAATACTTTAGCGGTCTTACTCTGATTTACAGTGAGAAGGAGGAAGGAGTGGACATTTCTGAATATCTGCAGAGTAGAAACACTGCGCTAGCCATTAACCACTGTGTACATGTGTACAAGCATAAGTTATTATCTCTACTTTATAGATAAAGCAACTGAGAATAATATCTATAGATCAGAGAGAATAGATATGGTATTTATGGACATACTGCTAATAAACTGGTAAAACTTTGACTCAAATAATAGCAGATTCTAAAATCATGTGGTCTTTCTTCTATATCACTCTCCAGTGAGGTAGTCAGGCCTCATGCCCAGACGACCACCACCTGTGAATACTACATAGCACTGATTCAAGAGTACCTAAATTCTAATAACAAGGGAGAGACTTGTAGTTAGCTAGGAGAATTAAGATTTCAAATACAAATGTATCTGGGAGATAAAATGGGTAATTTACACTGAAACAATCCCTTCCAGTGAAGGCTTTGACAGATGGCAGAATCCAGAGACAGGCATGAGGAGATTAAGATGTTGAAGGTGGTAACTGCAGAACAAAGTGGAAAGATGGAAGAAGCTTTAAGACCTAATTTTTTTGGCTTGTTTTCCAATTTTGCTTACATTTTCCTAATTTGGAAATATCAGTCTCATTTTCCTTACCTGTTATGTGGGGTTGCTCCTTCATAGTGATGTTGTACATGGCTCCTAATTGGGAGCAAGTCAACTCTATGAGAATAATTTTTATCCAGTTACTGTGTGTGAATGTTAATGCCTGATCTATTTTCCCCCTTAAATGTTTCCTTGTAGAAAAGGCAATCCTTGGAGTAGAAGGTCAAGAAGTGGTCTATCCTAAAAGGCTTCCTCTGAGGCAGAAGCGAGATGTTTGGCACATCCATGATTATGACATACAGGTACACACTTTGATTTAATAAATATGATTTATTACTTTCACAGGATATGCAGAAAGCAACATCTGGCTCCAATCAGAAGCAAACAAGAGAGGAGAATCAAATTTTCTGAGAACTCTCACTCAGTTTACAGCATGCACTTGGGGTAGGGCAGGGGGGAGGTTGGGGAGGAAGCAAACTTTTGATGGATTAGGAAACAAGATGGAGTAAAATTTGGATTTTAGAGTGTGCCATATAAAATTTTCCAGTTTATGTGAGGATTTCCACTAACAGCTTTCTGGGCTGATTTAAGGCAACCTTATTTGTTCTGAGCTGGTGCCTATGGAATATAATCTCTGAGTATTTTTCTTTCCCAGTGATGTAATATGCAGGTTTACTTGCCTTACAGATTTGGCAGCAAAGTTGGACGACTTTCATGGGAACATATCTGGCCTGTCACTTAGAATAGTGTTTATTCAGGTGTTAAAATGCAAATATTTATAATTTTATTTTCAAAAGAAACAAATGTTTATGCAGACAATATGTAATACATATAATGAGAAACAAGCTTCAAAGTAAGGTAATTTTCAATTCCACTACTATAGAAGACATTCAAGGACTGTTCTTAGATATTTATTACCAGGCACTTGCTTTGTGGGCCTGAGCTTTCTAACTTCATCCATGGAGAATACCGACTGCCACTTTGCCCCAACACTCTTTGAGAGGGCACACTTTTCCCAATGCAACTACTTTTCTTTCCTCCACCACTAAAAGAGACAAGCCTTCCAGGTTCTCATTTGTTAGGTTCCTCAGTCACAGCAAGACACATTTCAGTTTTCCAAATGTTGCCACTGAGATGTCTTTCCCATAGCTTAAGATAATGAAAAAGCAACTCTTTATCTGCTATCATTTGGAGATAATGTCTAACTATTTTTCTGTAATAATCTCCTTGCAAAAAATGTTTTCTCTTGATCTCCAATTCCTTTATCCTTAACTACTTCTTAAGCCTTGTATTCGTATAACATTGCATGTCAACTATACTTCAATTAAAAAAAAAAAAGCTTTGGGGGGTGCCTGGGTGGCTCAGTGGGTTAAGCCGCTGCCTTCGGCTCGGGTCATGATCCCAGGTCCTGGG